GTTCGGTGACTGCGGCGTTGCGGTGTCCTAGGATCAATGTTTCGATGATAGTGGCCTCACGATGGCGACGACAACGTGGTTTGACAAGGCAATTGTGGTCCAACAAAAATAGATGTGGTCTAGCGACGTAAGTCCGGTGAAAACGGTTTGGTGGGGACAATAATTGGAAGAAGGTGATCCCGAAATAAAAGCAGTGGTGGCAGCAATATCTTTTGTTAGATGATGACAATCTCATGACTATGTTGGAGTCCAACAACATTAGATAGGCGATAGTGGTTTGATAGTGGTGGTAGCCAGGAGAACGTGCGACAACAATCTATTAGTGGTGATCGAACGACAATGATTCGGTGATATCAGTGATGTCAGTTGGGCAACAATGACCTAGTTATGGTGACAACCTAACTAGGTTATATTAGTGTGTTGATGATTATTTGCCAATAACGATAGTGTTTCATAATAATGGTGGTGGTTGGGTAACTATGATCTGGTATAGCGTCAATCAGGATATGATAATCTAATTATGATGACAATGTACCATAACATTGATGTCTGTCAAGCATCATTGTTCTAGCATAGCAGCAGTTAGAAGATGATGGTTCAATGATAATAGAAGTGTTCCAGTGATGGGGATCTAAGGTAGCTCTAAGATGATGGTTTGAGCATTCACTTAGGGCCCGTAGTGGTTTTGATGGCAATAATGATTCGATGATGGCGGCCTGATGAAGCCAGAAATGGATTGCCATCGATTGAGTGTCAGTGTTCTGATAACAATAGAAACCCGATGATGATGGTCCAGCATGGGGGTAGTGGCGGCAATGGTGGCTCGATCTAAACCAGATGTTGGTGCTTTGGTGGCTACTGTAGCCTGATGATGATGGTTTGACATGATGTTGGTGGTTCAACAATGGTTTCTGATGGTGGCCACAAGCTGACGATGGGTGGCTCGATGATGGTCGGATGATGGTTGAAGTCGAGTTGTGGTGGCACGATAGTTGTGGCAACAATGATGATTGAGCAGTAGTAGTACGATGATGATGACAATTGGGCAGCGATGGTCTGGCGATGACAGTGGTGACCCGAAGACGATGGTGGAGGCGATCAGGCAGCGATGGTCTAGTGGCAATCAGGCAATGGTGGTTTGATAGTGGCTTGATGATATTGGTAGTGACGACAATCGGGCTACTGTAGTTTGATAGTAGCAAACAGTAGTGACGATCAAGTAGCGATAATTCGATAGCGACTGCGACAATCAGGCAACTGTAGTTTCACAGCGATGACGGTGGCTAGACAACAATTGTCTGGTGGAGGCTGCCCAAAGGTCGAGCAAAGATGGTTTGATTATGATGGTGGCTCAATGATGATGGCTCGAAGGTGATGAAGCTTGAGAATCCTTTCATGATGATCCTATAATTAATAAAATTAATATATATATATATATAGACACACACACACACACACATAAAAATGATTGCAAAATCAATCTCTTCACAACTCATTAGCTAAGTCCTAAATAAGCTGCCAAAAGTTAGTCAGATTGACCAATTTGACCCTAACTCGAAAATTTCAGGTTCGAGCTGATTTTCATAATATTCGGGTCATGTTTGGATTAGGAATTGTAACATGTTTAATTTTTAAAGTCGGGTTAAGATTGACCTGTTAATCTAAATTTGACCCGAAAACGACACAGTAACGCAAAATCGACCAACCAGCTCAAAATCAAACCAAAATTAATCTGAAAAATTGTCATGTATTACATTAAACATATTATAAGAGCCGGTTCATTCGGGTTAGCGGGTTGAAGACGGATTCAGTTCAGCTCCCAGTCCTCCAAAATATCTCACTTAAGCAATAAAACATAAAAATATTTAAACAATATAATTCCTTCTAAGATGAAGATTAGTGATTACATTAATAAAACATTACATTACAATCTATTCCTATCTTTTGTGTGTATAAAATATCAATCATTTGTGTGTATAAAATAATGGACATTTACATATATACCACACAATTCCGATTTATTTACATATCTAAAACTAAACACCTTCATTCTGTGCATGAATGCACATTTTCATGCATAGATAAGGTGACATATATATATGTAAAAATTGAATATAAATACATATGAATTGGGTGGTATGTATGTAAATCTTCCTAAATTAATTACATATGTGCCACCCAACTCTTATAAATATACATATCTAGCATCTAAACATTGAATTTTACATTTATGCCGTCACATGAAAAATACTGCCATTTATTTGATCATTTTTTTTCTTAGTGATTTTATTTTGAAAGATTTACATGCATACCACTCGATTGCTATTTATTTACATTTCTAACACCTAAATTTTAATTTTTACAAACATGCCACCTTAACTGCGAATGAAAAGGTGAATTTCGATTTATAAAAATTAAAAAAGTAGTACTTTTGATGTGATAGGAAAGATTTGAGTGTGGTATAAATGTAAAAAAATAAAGAAGAGGTGTTAGACATTTAAATCTATAAGGCATGGGTGGTATAAAAATTATTATAGTGTAATTCTTATATTTCATATTTAATTTTTTTTAAAATTAGTTCTTATTAACATTTAAAATAACATTCTAAAATTATTATTATGTTGGCTATTTAAATATTGAAATATTTATTTTATATTTTACAATCATTTTTTTTTTTAAAATACATCAATTTGTACATTAAGTAAATATTGAGGTTTAGGTGTTAGATATGTAAATACATTGTAATGGACTTGTATATATGAAAAACTTCTTAAATATTAAGATTCAATTTCTCTACTATTTATAAGTTCATCATAGATATTGAGTGATGTTGTGAAAGTTTGGGCGAAACAATGCAAATCCAAAAGAAAAACACAGGGATTTAATGAGGTTCGACAAAGATGTCTACATCTTCGGGAGCAGAGCGACGAATTTACTATTTCAGAGGAATTACATACCCATATGATTACACATTTATTTATAGATAAAACCCACAGATAAATTTACAAACACGACCTCACTCCCCCCAACTCACTAATTCAAGAGACACATCTCTTCACACTAAGAGACACTTTTTTTCATCCAGGAGACACATTTTCATTTCAAGATACTCTAAATTTCCTGGCATATGAGCCATAGCTAACAAGTGCAACTCTTATTTTAAATTTTTTTATTCTACTCTTCCAATATCTATAAGATTTGAGTGTAGCTCTCATATTTTATAATATAGTTTTTTTTATGGCTTATATTACATTTTCTTTTCATTTAAAATAAATTGTTTAGTATATTTATTGAGTGTTTTTATTTTGTTAAAGTAAATCAATTTATTTTAAAAAAAAAACTCAAATCTCAGTTCTATGTTCAGATATTTTGATTATTTTTCAAAGCATTTATAACCACTAGTTCTTTTAAATCAAAATACTAAACATTATAGTGAGGTTTCTAAAAATACGATTGACATTAATGACCTTAATATCGCTAATAATAATAATATGTTTTATTTTTACGGTCGCACTAGTAAAAAAGAAGTTGAGGAGACTAAATGAAAGTAATGGTGAAAATTTTGTAGGACCTGGTGATATCTCGACTTAAGTGTGGAAATATATAGGAGATTTAAAAAAATTTTGGCACGATAAAACTTTTAATATTATTTAAAAAACTAAAAAGATGA